CCTCCCAAAGTGCTGGGATTACAGATGTGAGCCACCTCGCCTGGCCCTACTTTTTGGCTATGATGAATAATGTTGCTATGAACATTCCCATACAAGTTTTTGCATGGACAGGTGTTTTCATGACTCTTGGGTTTATGCCTAGGAGTGGAGTGGCTGGGTCCTGATCACCTTTAACCTTTGGAGGAGGCGCCAGGAGGCTTTTCCAGGTGGTGGTGTCATTTTTCCATTGTCCATTCCCACCAGCGATGTGTGAGGACTCCGGGTTCTCCACATCTCCACCAACACTCACTGTTTTCTGCTGTGAAGTGGTACCTCATTGTAGTTCTTTATTTTTATTTTTTCTTTTTAAAATACATTTTGTACAGATGGGGTCTCGTTATGTTGCCCAGGTTGGTCTCACGCTCGTGGCCTCGAGTGATCCTCCTGCCTCGCCCTCCCAAAGTGCTGGGATTACAGGCATGAGCCACCACGCCTGGCCCTCATTGTGGTTTTTGATTTGTATTTCCCTAGTGACTGATGATGTTGGGCACCTTTTCACATGCTTCAGGATGAACTTTCTTAAATATAAATCTGCTTCGATGATTCTTCTGCGTGAAACTTTTCCAAAGCTCCACTATTGCACTGAGAAGAAATTCCACACTCCCGACCGCATGAGCCCAGGAATTCAAGGCTGCAGTGAGCTATGATTAAGCCACTGCACTCCAGCCTGGGCAGCAGAGCGAGACCTGTCTCAAAAAATACGTACACACATCAATTCCCCCCTTTTTGATAGCTTTTTATAAGGCTCGCCAAGGTCTGTCCTCTGGCAGTGTCCCTGGCCTGTTCTCCCCATCTCCCCTGCCCTCTGCTCACCAGTTCCCCGAATGCATCTCGATCTCACTAGCCCTACAGACCGTGCACAGAACTGTTTCTACCTCCAGCGAAATACTTCCCCCCAGGCTTCTCCCCCTCCCACCTCAATGTTCCCCTCAGCAACTTAGGGTCTTAGGGGCCCTCCTAGGAGGCAATCCCCAGCTTCCAGAGCCAGGGTCTAGGCTCCTCTGTGTCCCATGGCGCTGCCACAGAAGAGACAGAAGAGTCTTGGCTCTCTCCAGCATTCAGTTCTAAGGTCAGTGTCTAAGGTGAAAATGGAGGGTAACTGAAATTCCTCTTAGAAATCTAAGGAAGGTGCCATATTGAAGACCAACATCTTGAGGTCCCATGTAGTCATTTCTTGCCCATGTGGGAACAGAGTACTGTTTGGTTGAGCACCAGGTGAAGTGATTGGCCTGCAGTTAGGGCTGAGTTGTGCAAAAACCACTTGTTTTTAGGTGTTAGAAGCACACTTAGGCGAGAAGGTCACTTCTGGGGAGCTTGGGAACCGAGGCAGGCCGCAGGGGCAGCAGAGGCGTGAGCTTGCCCGCGCCCGCCCTCCTGTCTGCGCCCACGGAGTGAAGGAGGGGCCAGCGGAATGGCCCAAACAACTGATTTGTTTTTCTTTTTTACAAAGTTTTTCAGACACATACCATTGTGTTTAAGTGAAACGTGTGTATAATGCCCAGTCACTGTACCCTGTAACGCTGCACACCTCTACACTGGACTGTAACTTCTTGTTCCGAGTTTGTCTTGCTAGACTGTAAGCTCCGTGCGAGCAGGGACCATGTCTGCTTGTTCACTGGGCTTTCCCCGGTGCCTGCCAGCGTGCCTGGCATCCAGCAGGTCTTGTGTAAAGATGGGATGAATCTGTAAAACCCTCCAGCCTCAGGAATGGCTCCATCCTCTGAGGCTCTGGGGCCCACTGACAGGCTAGTCATTTTTCTGCCATGTGCGTACAATGCTTTATTTTCATGTTGTATTTTCCTTTCTAGCCGGTAAGCAAGCTCCTGATGAGCCAGGTTCTTTGTGGTGGTGTCTCTGTATCCTTTCGTCAGGCCAGCCCAGAGTGAGCAGTGCTGCGAAAGTGTTTGGTAACTGAATGAATTGTGGTAACGCAGCCCAGCTCCGGCATCACTGTCTGCAGGTTAGTCTGATTCTAGATGAGAGCCCCAGATTCGAAAAAGGGAGGATTAATTATTCAGAGGTGTGCCGGGCGCGGTGGCTCACGCCTGTAATCCCAGCACTTTGGGAGGCCGAGGCGGGCGGATCACAAGGTCAGGAGATCGAGACCACAGTGAAA